CTCCTGGCCTCCTCCCACCTCCTCCTCCTCCCCCTTTCTGTAAATAGGTTTTATTTTTTGTTAAATGTAGGTTTTTGTTTTTAGTAAATGTAGGTTTTTAGTATATTTTGTTTTTAGAAAATTTGAATAAGTAATTTGAAAAGAATATGTAAATGTAGGTATTTTGAATAGAATAGGAAATTTTTAGAAATTTTAAATAAGTAAATTTGAATGTAATAAAATATGAAATTAAAAAAGTAAATGTAGGTCTTTTGAATAGAATAGGAAATTGTTAGAAAATTTGAATAAGTAAATTTGAATAGAATAGGAAATTATAAGTAAATTTGAATAAAATAATTAAATGTAGCTTATGGAGTTTCACTAAGTCCTAAGATGACGATAATTAAATTTCAGGCGCTCGATATGTCCTTTTTTAGCAAAGGTCATGCCGGATTTTTCTGTGAATTCTGGCATGACTTGTGCTAGAATATGTAGGATATATCGAGTGGCCTAGATTTTCTAGAAAAATAATTAAACGACATTTCCGGTTGACTTTAAGTCTGTCGAGGCTCCATCACCGACGGTCAAAAAATCAGTGAGGGAGTGTATCGACCATATATGAGAGAGGACGAAGAATCCCGACTGTTGTCGTGGGGGTCGTTTCTCCTTCTTCTCCGGGTGCTAGACCTTTGTTATGCACTAGGGGAAGGAGGAGTAACGACCATCACCGACGATCGCAAATGTTAGAGAGGAATCAGTGAGTGAGATCGAGTCTCCACCACATATGAGAGGATGAAAAATCCCGATTGTTGTCATGTGGGTCGCTTCTCCTTCGTTCCCGTGTGCTAGACTCGGCAGACCGATAGTCAACCTGTGATGAAGAATAATGATCTAATTTAGTTTTTGTAGTACATATATTGAATTGTACAAGTTCAATCTTTGAATTATGAACATAGGAAATGTCGTCATCGGACGACGAAAGTCTCCCGGGGGAGTGCAGCTGGTGCAACAACGACCGAGGTCTATGCGACAGGCCTCACCTGGACGAAGATTGGCGCTTCAGCATTAAGATCCAGGAGACCTTTGATGTTGAAACGATACGCAACGACGACAAGTGTTTTTTCGTAATTAAACATGGCTTCAACTATTTCAACGTGTAATTTTCATCTTTTACAATTCGAGTAGCTTATCCCATGCCATGCAAGATGCTATGTCTTGGAGAGGATGGATTTTGAAGACCGTGAAATTTCGAAACAAAGAAAATTCACCTAAGGACCCATCATGGTATGAATTTTGAAGTAAATCCATACAATTCTGAGAGCGTAACCCATTTTGGTTGCACAAATTGGGAAGCACTTTGCAAGATGTATGGTTTTTATGAGGGTATCCTTGTCGCCATGGATCTTGGTGATCCTGACATCGAACAAGACAATATGGACATTTGGGTCCTTGTTGATACGCTTCCAATTCTACCACTTTGTGAGTTTCTCAAACATAGTTATTAACTAATTTATATTGTTTATTTGAAAATAGTTGACATCTTATTTCCATTGATAGCTTATTTTCATTCTTCAAACAAAGTGCGAAAGATGGTAGACAGAACCTACTACGCCGATGGCTCTGAGTTAACTTATCAGGAGAAAAATCATCCGATCACATTTTGTACTGATCTTGAGAATTACACTATCTATTATCAAACTCCTCCACATTATGGTCAAAACGTGCCACTAGTGCATGTGTTGAACTACGGTAACATCCATGGAGATGCCATGGTAAGATTTTTTACTATTACGACATCCGTGCACCTTTTG